ATCGATACATTAAAATCACCATGCATATCAACATTTATAATAAATAAATTAATATGATCCATATCTAACGAAACGAACAAAATCTTTTAAAAAAACATGACTTTGAAAATAAAATAAATTAAAGAATAAAAACGGTAATAGGCAAATTTGAGAACAGGAACAAAGTATTCCACTAAGGGCAGCGGACAGTGGCTATAAATACAAATCCCATTTCGCTAAAACATATTCAACACAAAAGCGTAAGCTAAGCATTTACATATAACTAACCAAAGCATTCAACAAAATGTCTGATTCCCGTCCTCACAGTATGTTCTTCCTATCAGTTACTCAAATGTGTTCGATAGCTAACGATTTAGCTTATGAACGTTACTGTATAATGATTTAGTATCTTTATTTCAAATTTATAACAATTTATGTTTTTTTTAGTTTATTTTCAAATCCTCCTGATTTGAAACATTTATCCTTGGTTTGTTCATTTTTATTTTCAAGTTTTTAAAATTTATGTTTATTCCTACCAATTTTGAAATTTTATATATATGATTATATAACGATTTATTGAATTCTACATTTTGTTGGTAGAGTTATGTGTATTAGCAAATTTAACACGAATATATGTTTTAAATAGGAAAAAGTGAATGGCCTGAGCTCGTGGGAGTAAAATTTTCTGTTGCTGCTGAAATAATAGAAAGAGAGAATCCTTGTGTCAAAGCCCAAAAGATTCTAGCTTGTTGTTACGAAAAATCAGAGTTCGATCCTTCACGAGTTTGGGTTCGTGTCAATATTAATGATGTCGTTGTTTTCGTTCCTAAAGTTGGTTAAAAATTGCACACAAGTATAGTTGTGTAAGTTATATGTATCAACATAAATAATATGAAATTACTAATAAGGTAGTATGTAACTGCCACTTTAATTACTGAATTGTTCCAATGTTATCGCACTATTTTATGTTATTAATAATGCTTTTACTTTTTCATATTTTATTGGTTCAATAATATGCGGTGCATTGAATCTTTTGTTCGAGAATTTAGATTTTGTGTTAGTTCACTTATTGATTTCACTTTTATATCATTCTTAACATAAATATAATGGAGACGTGCATCAATTTCATACACATTCCTATGTGCTCCATTTTGGTACATACATAACTTACCAAACTCATATCAATTTCATAATCCTTCGATCTCATAATATCAAAAAAATTGTAAAAGAAAAAGTAAATAAGGACATATCTGTAACTTCCAGCCTAGGGTTTGAATTAGGATTCGGAATCCGGATTTAGCACCTTCTAATGGGGAGTTACAAATGGTATTAGAGCGATACCTCTCCCAGTAAAATGTGGTTCGAACATGAATCAAGACAGTAGCTGATGGGCATGTACACCCATGTAAACGAGGGACATATGAATTAATCGTGACCACATCTAAATGAGAGAGATCTTGAGGAAAGGATGACTAAGAAAAAATTAAAAGAAATGAAAGTTACTACTTGTACCAATAAGGTGTGCACAATCGTAGTAAATTCTATGTTGGGTGACCTCTTGAGAATTCTCGTAGAATGCATGTGACTGAGGATAAAGTATGATTAAAAAGACCCGTGTTGGTTTGTGAGGATAGTCTTCACTCTTAGAAACAAGAAGTAAGTAACGTGACCATATCGCAAGGGATTGTCGAGGCCATTAGAAAGTGTCTAATCCAAATTTCAAATCTTGATTCGAATTCTAGACATGGGGCGTTACAAAAACCATATCAATGGAACCACATCCACCTTGGTTCGTCTTCGAACCACATCTTAAAATCATTGTATAATTAGTATTAATTTTGTTATCATAGCATCTTAGGTTTAATGTTTGTCTTTTAAGTTTTATCTTAAAGATAAGTCATGTTGAAATTTTAAAAGACAAGTTGTGAAGTAATTAAATGTTTTTTTTGTTTGTTTGTTTACAAATTCATGAAGATGTGTTATTACAACACTTCAAATTAATTTTAAAAAAATTTAGATAACCTTAAAAAAAAAAATAGACATTTTTCCAAGGTTCTTGATAATATTGGATAAAAACTTGAATATAAACGTAGTTAAAAAGTGTTTGTATAACATGGTAAAAGATACTTATTTTAAAGTTTTTCTTTTTATAAGCTTTACTAAAAAGTAGACATTAATTTTCAAAAGATTTTTTATAATTTTCAAAAGTTTTTCATAATCTAGGAAAAACTAAACGTCCTTCCGATACTTTTTGGTAATATGAAATACTTCGTCTACAATTTTAATAAATTCCTATCTTTTCCTTTTTTAACGAATACATCACTTTGACTATAGATAACGGTTGAATTCAATATGTGCAATGAATTTTGACGAGATGGATGCGTGCATTGTGGCTCCTACACATGTCTTGATTTTATGGTCGTTTGATGTATGCGATGTTATGTTTTTGTTATGATGTCAGATATTATGTTACATAAGTTATGGTATATTATAAAGTATGTCATGTCAGGTTAAAAAAAAAAAATCACAAATAAATATTATAATAAAAAAAAGACACCTTAGAAAAGTCAAAATAACTTCATCCTTAAGGAAAAAAAAAAAAAAAAAACAAGAGTATGTAACAGAGGGGTTATTGACTATAAAATAGAATACCCATTTGGCCAAACAAACTCAAGAAAAGAGTAAGCTAAGCATTTTCTTATCATCCACTAAAGAAGCAACAAGATGTTGGTGTCCTCCTTCTAGTAGTATGTTCTTCCTATCGCTTATTCTTTTAATTGTTTTGAAGTTGTTTCTAAATGCTATAATCGAGATGTTTGCAAATTTTGAAGCAGTGGTATAGCTGAAATAAATGTTCGAGTAATCTCTAAATATAAATATATGAATTTTTATGGTAACAATTCAAGCTTATTGCTAATAGATATTATTTGCTTTGACCCATTATGTATCGCTATCAGCCTCACAATTTTTAAACACGTTTGTTACGAAAAGGTTTCCACGCCCTTATAAGTAGTGTCTCGTTCCCCTCTCCAATCGATTCGTGATCTCACAATAGTACGTGCCAACTCTACTGGCTATCCGCATGATCAACGTCCTACCATAGGACCGATCAACCTTGTAGGGATGGTCCATCCTATGGGAGGGAGTTGATCATGCGGGTAGATAGTAGAGCGTTAATCATGTGGTTGGGAGGGGAATGAAACATTATTTATAAGGATGTGAAAATCTATCCATAGTGATGTGTTTTAAAATTGTGAGGCTGACGATGATACATTACCAACCAAAGCGGACAATTTTGGTTAGTGGTGAGCTTGAGTTGTTACAAATGATATCAGAGCTAGACACTGGTTGGTGTATCTAGGAGGGCGTTATATCAATTACAACTTTAAACTTTAAAAGTAAATTAATTTAGACTATCCAACATAATTTCGTTTTAAAAGTGTTAATGCATAGCTTTCAAATATATAAAAGACCGATGTAAGTTAAAGAAAAATATGAGAATCGAATAGATAGAGACAATTTTTCATCTTTCTCTCTATTATAATTTTTCTCGAAGCTTATGTGAAATGTTTGGAGAATAATAATGTTATTGAGATGCTTTCGAATTGATTTGGAATAGAATCCAGTGAAAATAATTATTCATTATTAATAAATTTTATTCATTTGCTTTGAATTTTTATTGTTTCATTGGAGTTTTATGTATTAACAAATTTAACACGAATGTGTTTTTTAAATAGAAAAAAGTGAATGGCCCGAACTTGTGTTTTTTAAATAGAATATTCCGTTGCTGCTAAGATAATAGAAGAGGAGAATCCAAATGTCAAAGCACAAAAGATTCTTGCTGGGAGTTTAAGAGATCAAAAATTCGATCCTTCAAGGGTTTTTGTTGATGTCAATATTAATGATGTCGTTGTTGTAGTTCCAAAAGTAGGTTAAAGATTGCACACGAGTATGGTTGTGCAACTTATATGTATCGATATAAAGAATATGAAATTACTAATAAGGTAGTAGCTAACTACCACTTTAATTACTAAATTGTTCCAATGTTATCGTACTATTTCTATTATTAATAATGCATGCCAAACTTGGTCTATTACTTACTAATTCGTCACTACAATTTTTGTAATGGAACCAAAAAAAAAAAAAACATGATGGTCGTCGGCAGAGTCGAAAACTCCGGCGAACGCCAGAGTTTTCGCTCGCTCACGACCCACAAAGGACGGTCGAGGGCTGGGATGCCACAAATCGCATCCCCGACCTTCAGCCACCCGGGAAAGCACCTGCAAAGAAACGAAAACGGTAAGAAAAAAGGAGAGAGAACAGAAAACTGACGGAACTCCGGCGAAGCCGAACCGTACAAATCGACGTCGAAAACCCCCATTTCACACCACAAAAGTAATCCCAGAACCCTTTACACACATCAGAAGTAGGTTTTAGACGAATTCCGTACGCTGAACACAGTCGGCAAGGAAGACGGAACGGCGGACTTCCGAGCTTCTCCAGATCCGGGAGTGCAAGGCCCTTACCAACGAAATCTGTACCAAAAACGGGGTTAGGGTGAAGGATAGGCTTGGGAACGGGAAAAAAAAAGGGGACGTCGGGACGACGTTGTCGAGGAGAGAGAAAGACCGCCGGAAAATCGCGCAGGAGTCGGGCGAAGAGGACGAAGTCCGACCCGAGATCCGGATCCGAAAACCCGAACCGAACCCCGTCCCTTCGGTCGGCCCAGAACCCACGTTACCCGCAGCCCAAACACCTGGCCTTCACCCGTGAGCCGACCCATCACCCCACGGCCTGTCACCCGCGAGCCGGCCCATCACCGCGCTGCCCGTCACCTGCGTTCGACCCGTTAACCCGCGCCTCGACCCGAGACGCTTGCACACGCGTCGCCCTCTGATTGTGCCACGTGTCACGTCTGCAGCGCGGCTCCTCTCGGCTCAAGTGGCTTCATCGGCTCGGCGGCGGCTCTTCGGCTCCGGCGGCTTATTCGGCTCGGGAAACCTGTTTCCAGCCCGTTTGACACCGTTCCGATCCACCCGGACCTGGTTTCGGCCCTGTTTAAGGAACCAACCACTAACGGAAGCGTAAAACGTCCACAAGAAGCTAGGAGCTTACGTTATATTCTAGGGAGTACTTCGGCTAAGGCCTACCAAGTAAGTGGCTCACCCGTTGTAGGTTATGTATTAATTGCCGTATGTTGGCATGTACCCGTGGTTATGCACGTGCCATTAAATTGTTTGCTAGCTTAATATGCTTAAGTACGAAATCATGTGAATGTGAATGTATGTTATTTATGCTGCTTATTGGATGTGATATGAATGCATGTAACGATGTGTGACCTGTGTACGATTATGGCTTGATGTATGAGTATGGGAATGTGATTGAATGAATTGCATGACATGGAATACGGTAAAGTGCATGATACATAACCCCGCTAGGAATATGTACGATATGTAATGGCATGTAAGCATGAAAACGTGACGCGGGGTTATGCTCATTAAATGATGACTGTAGGACTAGAGGGACCTCATGCATATTGTGTGTTCATGCATTTGGGGGGATACCCCTATCCCATCACGAGGGTACAGACGCGTACATCCAAAGGGCAGGACAACGATCGTTATGCTCTGCATAGCGCTGCTGTGACGATTGTAGTTTTAACGGGTCCCGGTGGGCCCCCAGAGCATGCCCACCGGCTAGGGACAGTGGCCCAGCGGTGTGCGAACTAGCTGGTGAGCCCATACTCGCACGTATGGGCTGCGTGTAGAGTATATGGCCCAGCGGTGTGCGAACTAGCTGGTGAGCCCATACTCGCACGTATGGGCTGCGTGTAGAGTATATAGTACACGTCCACGATTACCTGTTAGGACTACACCGTTGGGAAAACGAAATGAAATAAAACGAAACGAAACGAAAAAGAAACGAAACGAAACGATAGGTCCCATCATTTCATTGCATGTGTTTGTCGCATAACCTCGATAGGGGGGTCGCTTATTGAGTATTCTAGAAATACTCAAGCCTCGTGCTACTTTACTTTTGCAGATAAGGGCAAGGCACCCATGTGACAACGACGACGGCATCGGACACCTCAGGGTCGTGGCACATGCATAGGGTAGTTGGTTGTTTTTTTTNGTATGTTGGCATGTACCCGTGGTTATGCACGTGCCATTAAATTGTTTGCTAGCTTAATATGCTTAAGTACGAAATCATGTGAATGTGAATGTATGTTATTTATGCTGCTTATTGGATGTGATATGAATGCATGTAACGATGTGTGACCTGTGTACGATTATGGCTTGATGTATGAGTATGGGAATGTGATTGAATGAATTGCATGACATGGAATACGGTAAAGTGCATGATACATAACCCCGCTAGGAATATGTACGATATGTAATGGCATGTAAGCATGAAAACGTGACGCGGGGTTATGCTCATTAAATGATGACTGTAGGACTAGAGGGACCTCATGCATATTGTGTGTTCATGCATTTGGGGGGATACCCCTATCCCATCACGAGGGTACAGACGCGTACATCCAAAGGGCAGGACAACGATCGTTATGCTCTGCATAGCGCTGCTGTGACGATTGTAGTTTTAACGGGTCCCGGTGGGCCCCCAGAGCATGCCCACCGGCTAGGGACAGTGGCCCAGCGGTGTGCGAACTAGCTGGTGAGCCCATACTCGCACGTATGGGCTGCGTGTAGAGTATATAGTACACGTCCACGATTACCTGTTAGGACTACACCGTTGGGAAAACGAAATGAAATAAAACGAAACGAAACGAAAAAGAAACGAAACGAAACGATAGGTCCCATCATTTCATTGCATGTGTTTGTCGCATAACCTCGATAGGGGGGTCGCTTATTGAGTATTCTAGAAATACTCAAGCCTCGTGCTACTTTACTTTTGCAGATAAGGGCAAGGCACCCATGTGACAACGACGACGGCATCGGACACCTCAGGGTCGTGGCACATGCATAGGGTAGTTGGTTGTTTTTTTTTCCCATGTCTAGTATAGGTCAGAAGGGGATGAAATGTATTTGCATAATAAACCTTAGGGTAGAATTGTTGGTTTTGTTGCTTTTTCCTTTCTTTCAATAATGTTTCCCTTTTTTCCCTTGTAACCTTTGTTTTTGAGGTAATAAAAAGGCGAGTGCGAACAACATTTATGAATAGAGTCCATTAAATGTATATTCCGCATTTCAAAGTAGGGTGATGACCTTAGATTAAATAGGTAAAATATTAGGGTTGTTACAATTTTACTTTCTCTTCACGTGCGGGAATTCAAATCTCTGACCTCTTGTTCGTGGGTACAATTTTATGTTACTTGAGTTATTCTCATGTTGGCAATTTCACCATTACATATAGGATAAAAACTGAAGTAAAATCTATCATCCAATTTCATATAATAGAAAAACAATGTTAATGTGTAAGAGAAATGAAGACATCCTTGTACCAAGAAACAAATTGAATTTGAAGTGATATTTACGAGAATACATGTACATACAACTACAATCGCTAATGTGTAAGCAAATAGCCGATGATAGTTGTATTCTCGTAAAGGTCTTATTTGTTTTAATATAAAAAAGAAATGAAAAGCTAACGTGAAATCAAACTTTATCCTAATTGTCTAATGGCCTCCTTACCAAATATCATTGGTCAACTCGAGTAACTTTGTCCTTACTTGAAAAAGAATGTTTGAAAAATGTTGAGTATTAAAAGTTCTCGATAATTGACTTCACCT